AGGGGCCGCGCCCTGTTTAAGGCTTTATTCAGGGGCGCGCCCTGTTTAAGGCTTTATTCAGGGGCGCGCCCTGTTTAAGCCTTTATTCAGGGGCGCGCCCCTGTTTAAGCCTTTATTCAGTGTAAGCCTTTAAACAAGGAAACACCTTTGAGAAGTTTATGCTTGATGCAAGGGTCAACTCTCATACATGTAGACAACCCTGTTTATTGTTATGTATTTTATTTCTTTGCATTCAGAAAGTGAGATGAATATTTACCCTCATTTACCCACATATACCAAAATTTACCTGGTAAATATGTGTTATATGCGGGTAAATATTGTACATCATATTTACCAGGGATTTACACATTTAGGGTAAATTTGGTAAATCCCACTTTTCGTGCAGTGTATAAGCTGTGTTTCTGTGGATCGTTTGGCTCTGAATCCATGCTGGTAATCCGTTAATATACTGTAACTTTCTAGGTGCTTCATGATTTGGCTATGGATGATATGTTCAAGTAGTTTGCAGGATATGCAGGTCAGTGAAACAGTTCTGTAGTTGCTGGGGACCGCTCTATCTCCTTTTTTAAAGATGGCGCATATATTTGCATCCCTCCAATCTTTAGGGATTTCTGCAGTGTTTAGCGAGTGTTGGAAAATATTGGTTAGAACAGGCGCGATTTCACTAGCTGTCAACTTTAGGAACCACGGTGGTATTTGGTCTGGTCCGGATGCTTTAGAGGGATTGAGACCTTGAAGCATTTTTTCGACACCATCAGTAGAAACTACTATATGTTCCATTGGAGGAGTACAGGGCTGACCTAGAGATGGCATATCTGTGGTGTCTTCCTCTGTGAAAACACTTTTGAACTGTGAACTGAGTACTTCTGCTTTTTCCCGCTTGTCACTGATGATGGTATTTCCCACCTTTAGGGTGCTACCCAGACAAGGTCTTTCCTCTAGTCCTTTTATGTACGACCAGAATGTTTTGGGTTTGTCAACTATAGCTTCTCCCAGTTATGTCTGCCACGTATTTAGAGTGTGCTTGTCTTATGCTTTTCTGAACTCCCTTCTTAACTCTCTTATATTTGTTCCAGTCTTCCTCTTGGCCTGTTTTCTTAGCTTTGTTATAGAGCCGCTGCTTCTTACGACAGTGCCTCCTTAGGTTTCTGTTGAACCAAGGCAAGTTGTATCTGCTTGATGTTATCTTACTAGGGATGTGCTTGTTCATCGTGTCTTTCATTTTGTCTTTGAAGTCTGACCACTTCTGTGTAACTGACATATCCTGAGTTCTTTTGTGAAAGTTAGTTGCATAATCCGTTAGGTCTTTCTTAATGGCTGGTTCGTCGGCTTTTGTGCGGATGTACACTTTTCTCTTAGGTTTCCTGTTTTGTTTCAGTGCCAGGTTAACGTCCACTAGAACCATGTCGTGGTCACTTATCCCCGGGACTACTGTGGTCTTCTCAATTATGTTGGGGTTATTAACTAAGACCAGGTCCAAGAGATTACCATTTCTAGTTGGTTCCTGGACTGTTTGAAATAGCCCGTGGTTATCCATTAGGTTTAGTAGTTTCTCTGCTTGGCCTGTGTAGGCCTGACTGTTGTCAGCTATATATATGTTGCCATCTTATGGCGTTCACTTAAGCTTTTAATTGCTTTTATCGTTATACGTACTGTATATGTACATCAGAGAAAGCCTTCTTTTTATCTTTTGTTTTCTAAGTTCTAAAGAAGGGCCCTCTTTTTGTTATTTATGGTAGAATGTTTTTGTTGCTGGCTAAAGCTCATAACTGTGCGTCATTGTATATGAAAATACATATGGGCTGCTATGGTGTGGCGTAAGACGACTTCTCTCAGGGGTATTTAAATGGATTTGTTTTTTTCTTGTGAACACGGTTTTTGATTCTAACTGTGAGTAAAAATGTTTTGTTTAGTATTCGGACCCTTGGCTCATTTCTTCGCCACAGACATGTTTAGTTGCTAGAAGTACGGCAAAACAACAAAATAGAAACTGCTGGAATTTTATGATTTTGGAATAGATACATGAATCAATGAATGAATGGATGGATGGATGAATGAATGAATTTTCGTGTAAAATACATATAACACCGAGCAGATTATTATTGGAATGAGCAGAGCACTTTGGACTAATGCCTCTAACCGTTTATAGCTTACAGGTACATATCCAATCTTTTGTCAAAAACTTCTCTGTTACAAAGCGGATCATAATGACCCCCAGCGGGGGTCTTCACGCTTCGTTGAAAATTGAAAAATCTCAAGATCTGTTCCAAAGATCTCAATATTTTACACGAAATCTTGAGATCTTTCATGACAATCTCAAGATCTTTCATAAAATCTTGAGATGAAAATGAAAAGGTCTCAAGATCTTTCCAAGATCTTTTCAAAGAATCTTGAGATTTTTCCATAGCATCTCGAGATGCTTTGAAAAATATCAAGATTGTTTAAATAATCTCAATATTTATAAAGCAATCTTCAAAGAAATGTTGAAATTGCTGCCTTAACTTGATATGAATCATTATCAAAAGTACTCCGACTGCTTCTGTTGTTACATCGGGTATCAATTCAGACCGTTTGAGAGGGTTTTATATAAAAATTAACGGTAACCCTGATATATTGGTTGAGCAATCTTCATATACACTCTCGTGGGATACAACTGATTTCTTTTGCCATGCACTCAATAGTTGGGTGTAATGATTTTTCCACAATTAATGGACCTTTTACATTACAGCTATGTGAAATTGTAGAGAAAGCTGAGTGTGTGAATACATGTACGTATGGGAAACTTCTTGACAGAATTGATGTTCTTATACGAGTGTTCATGTCTATCGCAGGTGTGTAACACTACAAATTTGTGAATGACAGCAAAAAAAATGTGATATTCTAGGACAGTCATGAGCACAAAATTAAACTGTTAGATGTGTTACTACTTTGTGCTAGTGTCTGGCTTGTTCAGTACTAAGAATCATCATAATTTCTAAATCGGTAAGCGTTAAAAATTTTATTCAGAGAACTATCATACGGTGAAGGCCATTGCCAGCAAATACAGCGGGGGCTATGTAAATTTAACAACACTTTTGATGCAATACAACTTGTCGGCACTCTCCTGCAAAAATGTTGGACATTTACAATGTAGTCCAGCTGTATCAGGCTTGAAAAACTCTGTAGAATCTGCATTTCATGACTTTTGTGCAACCATGTTGCAGTTGAAATCTATTCAGTTATATCCTTAAGGCTGAAGGAGAATTGATGAACAGATTTACCACCTACAGGTGATAGCACTTTTCTTGGGCAAACTAGTCAGAACAACAGCCCTTCCCTCAAGAGAATAACTCTTTCCATGACCCACGTCGTCTTTTTAATGATTGAAAATATCACTATTGCGTCAATTATAATGACTTCATGGTCAGTTTTCCTATACCGCATTTTTGTCCACGACGATAACGCCTTACACTTGTACGTCGTAGGTTTGAGAAAAACAGTTGCAATAGTTCTAATGTACAAAGCTGTGGTCACATGTCTCCGTTCATGTCACCGTGCGATTGGGCTAGGTGGGCATACATGGGACAACCGTAGGTACGCAGCAGGTGAATTGCACATAAAATTATGATTCGCCAATACAGATTTTGCCAGACTTGTGGTGCTTTTAATTTTCTCTAATAGAAACATTGTTTGAAATCATACCCAACTAGAACATGGTAGCAACCATGGAACAGCGAACCTGTAGTAGAGTTTTCCTCATGTCAGATCCAGTATCACACACACAGACGGTCCATACAGTAGTAACATGGCGATATACACTGGGTATGTAACTCAACAATTGCTTTTTCTTGCTCTTTTTAACAAGTTCCTTTAAAAATATATCCAGATTTATTTCAAAGATCTCAAGAATTATTGCTAAATCTCGATATCTTTCAAGACAATCTTTATATTTTTCA